TATTCCTTTGGTTCTAAAATGGTCTCCTCAAGTGGATGACCCAATGGAGACATATTTAGTCACTCTCCCACTGCATCCTCTAAAAGAATTAAATGAAGTAATAATAATAATTTCTGTACATGTAAGATGTTGCTTTCTTCATTTTTTTTTTCTTTTTTGACCATAGCGGGAAGAATTAGTTACTCCTATATCTCATTCTCATTTCATAGTAAATTGTCATCATCTGTCTGTCTAGGACTTCTCTTTCATTATATTTGCCTTCACTGCATTTCAATATTTCTTGTTTTTCCATCATGTCCAATACTCACTTCAATGTGTCTTGTCTACCTTGTGCACATGTATTCTACTGTGCTTGATATAAGCCCAGCATAGTCAATATATTCTGCAATAATGTGATATTTTGTGTGCATATGTGTTATTGAGCTGTAAATTGTACTGTTGAGTTTAATTCACTTTAATTATTTGTGATATATCCATGTTGTGACTTTTTTTTGCTTCTTTCTTCATTACAGTCAAAAATATATAAAAATTTTTATAGATCTTGTCTTTATGTGTAGATCTTTTGGTCTTTTTCAAAACTCAGCTATCACTAACACTACTACAACGTACATTCCAACAGAAAGCCTTAATGGATCTCTGCTTCTATGACAGGAGCATAAATTATGTTCTCTTGTTAATTATTGACTTTTCCCATTGTTTTTGGTTTGATTCTTGGCATGTTTAGAAATTAAATAAAACATTTTATTGAGGCATCATTGAAAATAATAAACTGCACATATGTAAAGTGTAAATTTGATAAGTTCTAATATATATATGCATCCAAGAAACAATTAAAGCAATCTAGATAATGAACATATCCATCACCCCTAAAGTTTCTTGATGTCTACATAACAATTCCATTCTACTGCTTCTTGCCTTACGCTAACCCAGAAAACCTTAGATGTTATTTTTTAACCTTTATTTTGAAGTAACATGGAATTACCACAGGTTACATTAAAAATTACAGAGAGTTCCTGTGTCCCACCTAGTTTCCCCATAAACTTGCATAAATACGGTACAATATCACGACCATGAAGTTAACATTGGTACAATCTACTATGTTCAGACTTCACCAGTTTTGCATGCATTTATTTGTATGTTTGTGTATATATAGTTATATGTAATTTTATCATATGTGCACATTTGTGTACTTGCCACAACAGTCAACATACCAACGTATTTCATCACCACAATGGTCCCTTATGTCCTTCCTATATAGCCCTTCCCTTCTCTCATTCCCTGGTCTTTACTCAATCACTAATCTGATTTCCATCACCATAACTTTATCTTTTGAAGAAAGTTTTATGAAAGAAATACATTTGTAAGAAAACGCCATTTGTAACCTGTTGTGATTGGCTGTTTTTACTCAACATAGTTCTCTTGAGGTCCGTCCATGTTTTTGTATTAATTGTTTGTTCTTTTATTATCACTGTGTAGTATTTCATGGTTTGGTGATAGTTTGTTCAACCATTCACCCATTAAAAGTCATTTGAGTTGTTTCCAGTTTTCAACTATTACAAATAAAGCTTCTATAAACATTTTCACAAAGGTAATTGTATGAACATAAGTTTTCATTTCCCTGCTGTGAATGTTCGAGTGTGATTGGTAGGTTGTTTTAAACCTAATGCAGTCCAACTCATCAATGTTTACTTTTATAGACTGTGCTTTGATATGATGTGTATAAACTCTTCACTAGCTCTGAGCTAGGTCCTAGATATAGAATTTTCCCTATGTTCTTGTCTAAACCTTTTATAGTTTTATGTTTTACGTTTGCCTTCTATTTTGACTTAGTTTGAGTTGTATAAGGTTTAGGTCAACATTATTTGTTTATTTGTTTTTCCTATGGATGTCCAATTACTCCTACACTATTTTTAAAAAGGCTATTCTTCTTTTATTGAATTACCATTTTACATTCATGAAGAATTAATTTGACTTTTGTGCAGTCTATTTCCACACAAAATAGGTTCTTGGTTCTATTCAATTGATTTCTGTGTCGATCTTTCTACCAACGCCACACAGTCTTGATTACTGTATCTATATTGTAAGTCTCGGCATGGTGTAAGATCTTTCCTTCCTTATTATTCCACATTTTCAAATGTGTTTTAGCCATACTAGGTCCTTGCCCTTTCATATAAATTTTAAAATAAACTCATCTATATCTGCAAAATATCTTGCTGAGATTTTAATTGGGTTTGAATTAAACTTATAGATCACTTTGGGAAGAACTGATATCTTTATTATATTTAGTCTTCTAATCTATGAACTCACTATGTCTACCTATTCATTCAGATCTTTGATTTCTTTACTCAGCATTTTGCACTTTACACCATACAGATCCTACACATTTTTTCTCAGTTTATTCATAAGTATTTCATTATATTTGGGTGATTTACATGCTTACTTAGTTTCTACCTAAGTAATTCATTATACTTGGGGTAATCTTGAATGGTATTTACATATATATTTTTTAAATTTTATTTCTATGTATTTCTATATATACATTTTTTTTTAATGTGAAACCCATCATGTATTTCTGGGGTAAATAAACCATTGTGAATTATTGTTTTTAGATATTGTTAGATTTAATTGGCTAAAATTTTGTTTAGAATTTTTGAATATTTGCTTAAGATTGCTATTATGTTGTTTTCTCTTCTTATAATGCCTTTGTCGGCTTTTTATATCAGAGGAAAGCTCTCCTGGTAAAGTTGGGAAATATATCTCCTCTTTAGTTTTCTGAAAGCATGTGTAGATAATTGGTTAATTCTTTTCCCCTAAATATTATGTAGCATTCCCTAGTCAAGTCACTTTGCTTGATTTTGGGGAGGAAGAGAGTTAATGTTAATACAGATTTCCTATATGAGATCTTCATTTTTCAATTTTTTATAGTGTGTTTCTTAGTGTCCATGTACATTATTATATATATATACACACATATATAATACACCCATAATTATCATACTAACCTAAAGCACAGATTGTTTTTTTCATAGACAATTTTAGTGTCAGTAAAGTTTCTTTTGTATTTTTCTTATTCTAATTTTTATTAATCTTTTTAAATCATTATTGTATTATGTATTAAATTTTATTAATCTTCAAAATATTCTATCAAAAATTTCAGTTGTATACCAATTCCTGATTTTTTAACATTTTTGTATCCTATGGAAAAATAAAAAACTTCATGAAAAAACTTATATGTCTACTTAGTAATGAAATAGAGAATAACCTTCAAAATGAATGAGATATCAACATTTTTATAAATCTCACTATATTTTGTTCTCTTTTTGGTATATTATTTGATGGACATCAAAAGGTACACCAAGATTAACTTGAGAAAGTGGATATTGGGTTAACTTTAGTCATAGTTTAATTTTTTGAAATTCAGATTTTAGAGGTTTTTACCTTCTAAAAATAATAATTATTCACTGAAGATATTTTCTGGAAAATATACAAGCAATAAATATTAAATTAAACATTTTAATAATACCAGTAGCCACTAATAACTAGTATTAACATTTCACCATTACAGTATTCCAAATACATTTTCTAGGAAACAAAAATAATTTCTTATATTTGTATATGCATAGTTCATACTTACCTATATGGTTTTTTGATAATTAATAAATCAAATGTATAAACTTTTTAGTAATATTAATCTTCACCTGAATATATACATATAATTTATTTTGTTCCAATGACTTTTTTTTTTCAAATTTGATCAACTACGTGAAAAATTGTATTCTGTGACAGTGGACAAAGAAAGCTGTTGACTCCCTCTATGATGTAAATAAAGTTCCACGAATGTTATAAATACTAGAATTAAACAAAAAACATGGAGGAATTTAGGGAGGGTTTAGAGGGAGTTTGTCTAGAAGACATAAAATGTATATAAATTATACGTATCATACCACACTTTCACTAGAAATATAGCGTAGACCAAAACACAAGACTATCGCCTTTCATTTCTTAAAAGAGAAATTATGGAGTCACTGCAGTGAAACAATGGAAACTAATCAAAATATATTACACACTCATATGAAAGAAATTTGAGGAAAGTTAGCAACATGAAAGAGAGACAACAAACGTAGCTCATCAGAGTAGACTTCCTATGCAGAGATATAGAAAAAATAAGGACATAAAATTAAAACAAGAATTACTTTTGTTTTTCAGAGAAACAAGGAAAAGTAGCAATCCATCACACAAAAACAGACATTTAAGAATTGAGATCAAAATGGTAGGAAAAAAATGAAAACTGTAAGCTTCATGGAAGACCTCAAGAAATTTATCTTAATTGACATATTCATTGTTACAGAAAATTGGACTGATTTAGACAAAATTAGACACATTGCAGGCTTTCTGAGCAGCTGAAATGCCAAGTGCATTGAGTTAATGGACTCTCTAGAGCTCATATGTGAAATAATGGCACTGATGAGAAAAGAACAGGACCCTAAGATCCCCTGGGGGAATGGGGGCATTTGAGCAAGTTCACATGACTGTCGACTTCTAATCATCGTATAAAATGAGCCTCCTTGAAACTGCAATCAAGTTTGACCTTAACACACCTCATAGAAGAGTATGAAGACTAAAATACAGAAACGTACTTACACAAAAACACACACACATACACAGATGCACGTAGAAATTAGAACGTTTATTGTAACGGTTGAGAATAATGCAAGGGTCATGTGAACTTCCCTTCTGTACCTCTTATTTTTTCTCACTCCCACACAGCATATCCACTCTCCTTAACTGCTCTTATGGTCTATAGTCTCTAACCCATTCTACTGTACTATAAAATGCACTTAATTATTATGCTTATATTTCCTCTCTTCCTCTCAGAGACGGAAAAGATTTTTCTTGTTTTTTTTTTTTTTTTCCACTACATTTAGATGTGTGACTGGCATGTAGAAGGATGAACCTATTTGGCTTTGCTTTTCCCTCTGAAGGGAGGTCCCTAACTTAATTTATAGAAATAACATTGGACAATGAACCTTAAGAAAATATACTGCATGGTTTTCCCACATCTTTTGTAGTGAATATTTTACATCTTTATTCCTCAAACTATAGATCAAGGGATTCAACATGGGGATAACCAGGCTGTAAAATATGGAGGCCACTTTATCAGTGTCAAGGGAATGGCTAGACTTGGGCTGCACATACATAAATATCAAAGTCCCATAGAACACTGTGACCACTGTCAGGTGGGATCCGCAGGTAGAAAAAGCCTTACATCTACCCTCAGCAGAGTTCATCCTGAGAATGGCTAGAAGGATAAGCAGATAAGACACAAGAACTATCAGAAGGGAGAAAATCAAATTAAAAGCTGATAAAATCAGAATAATCAATTCAATTTCATGTGTATTTGAGCAGAGCAAAGATAACAAAGGGAGACCATCACAGTAGAAATGATGGATGACATTGTAGCCACAGAAAGACAAACTAAAAATCTTTATGGTGATTAGAAGAGAAACAAATGTGCTGTAGAGATAGGGGATAACCACCAGCACCTGACATAACCTTTGGGACATGATGACTGTGTACAGCAGAGGGTTACAAATGGCCACATAGCGATCATAGGACATTGCTGACAGAATGAAAAGTTCACTAAGAATGAACATGTTGAAGAAAGCCAGCTGTGTGGCACAAAAATAATAGTAGATTGTATTTTGATCCACAACAAAACTTACTAACATTTTGGGCCCGACAGTTGTTGAATAACCAAGATCTGTGAGAGCCAGTTTTTTGAGGAAGAAGTACATCGGGGTTTGTAGCCTGGAGTCCATCATGGTGAGGATGACCATGCCCAAGTTGCCAATCACTGAGATCATGTAGATGACAAGGAAGAGCCCAAATAATGGAGCCTGCAGCTCAGGGCGGTCTGTGATTCCCATGAGAATGAATTTGTTCAGCACTGTTAGATTGTATTTTTCCATCCAGATTGATCAGAAAATGTATTCTGGGTAGAGACATCAATAGTCAACAGTTTTCATGTTGTAAAATATGTTGACTTTTTAGTATAAAAACCTGATATAAATAAAATAAATCCAAACTTACAATTTAGACTCTATTAAAATAATCCACCCTCTGCAAATAAAACATACATATTTAAAAATAGGAATAGAGTTGGAGATTCAGAGAGATTTGTAGTTCTCCATTGGGGAAGATTAGTCCCCTGAATAACATTTGACAATGATTTGAGGCATTTTGGCTGTCACACCTGGAGGACAGTTGCTATTGGCATCTAATGGTTACAGTCCAGTGATGTTGCTAATTATCCTACTATATTAGGGTAGCCCCCACAAGAAAGAATTATACATTTTGTATATTGGCATTATACAAAATGCCAATAGGGCCATGATGGCAAACCCTGATCTATGTATAGATATAGATACAGATAGATAAAAATGTAGATAAAGGAAGCAAAATTTAAAAAATGATATAAACTGTATGTGGTAGTTTTAGAGATGACTGTCAAACTTTTCTGTTTTCTTTTATGACAATTACATGATTACATTTACAAAATTACAATCACATAATATGACATAATACATATGTTAATTACATCATATTATTTTAAAATCCAAATTCTTATTAGGTGCAGAAACATTTAGAAGCCCCTGCTTTAAAACATGTTTATGTGAAAGCCCTTATACCTACAGGTAGTACAGGAGGAAACAATGAATACACTTGACCAATATTGGACAGAGGTGTAAAAATAACAGAATTCTAACAGATCATAGTATATCATTTTTCTTTTATAGAAAAACATTCCATGAAATGCACATAGGTTGATACAGTCTCTGCTATCCCTACATTTTTAGTGTATACCAGGGAGTACTTCGAGCAAATGTTGTAAGTTATCTTAATCTACTTATACACATCAGCAAAACCAACTGTTTCTTGCGGGGTTGTTGAGAAGATACGTGAGAATTAAACATTTCAGTGCATTTATGGTACCTGGAAATATCCCTCAAATATCAAGTACACAGGATTTTTTGTGTGTTTCTTTTTAATTTCTTAGTGGAGACAGTATGTTACCTGAAATGGATTATTTAACATATGTACATATAAATTATTTTTGTGTGTCTTAACTCCTTTGTAATGGGTGTGATAATGACAAGACAAAGCAGTGTGTTATCCAGGTAACTGTCCCCAGTGCCCCTCATCACGAGCCAACTCCATGACTATAACTGACTATCAATGCGCTCTTCTTTTGGATAATTTATCTTTCACCTTACTTAAGATATTTAATATAGATTTACCTAAGAAATAACACAGTTCCTCCCCCCCAGGTGCATTTTTATTGTAACTGGCATATACTAAGTTGTTTGTAACACATAAAGTATATTTTGCCATGCATGGATGAACCTATGATGGTATGAGGAAATGAACAAATTGGGAGAAAGTGAGGTCACTGGAATTTGTTTTATATAATAAAGTTTCCCATAAATACTCTTTGGATAAAGAGATTCTCTACTTTATAAAAAATTGGTTTAAAATCACTATATTACACAACAGCATACTGGAAGACAAAATTCACAGATGACATATATGTACATTGTGTGTGTATATATATATATGTATATAGTGTGTGTATGTATATGTAATCCATATATATATATATATGGATTCCAGGATGATATTTTAAATTTAACTGCACATCAAGGCCACAAAGAGCTCCACTATACATTTAAAATGGACATACATAAGTCTAACGAAATAATGATGTACATGAATACCCCTAATAAACCACCAAGTTTAAAACATGCCAGAGTAGAATGAGGATGGCAGGCTAAGGTAAAAAAATTAGTGATTTAAAAAATTGTGAGTATAAGTCCTTCTTTAAAAAAAAAATAGAGAAAGAAAGAAAGAGAATTGACTCTGATTATGAGAAAAATAACAGTGTCAGGCGTCTCTGAGTGAGTTCTAAGAAAGCAAATAGAAAAAATACAATGTTTTTAACACTAAATTATAAACGCGTTTACAGGAAATCCACACTTGCTCACACAAACATTGCTTAAAGAGTTGTGAGCTTATGATATCCTATCCTGCCCCCATGTACACACCTTTTTATGTTAGAAACACTGAACTACTTTTAAAAGAAAATGTTTTAAATCAATGGAATAAGAAGCAATATAAATCTTGTTTAGGTGCAATGATGAAAAGCTATAGAAAACAAATCTCATCGGTAAGTGCCGATTTCCCGTAAGATGAGAGAGGATAGAAGGGCTTTCTCTCACCACCTTTAAACGTCTATAGAAAGCATCAAATCATGTTTTCATTGTTTGCTATCTGTATTGACTATCAGATTATATTTTAAAGTTACACTCTTTGAGAAAATTATATTCACTTTCTGTCAGATTCCACCAGAAAATGAACATAATATCCGTTGTACCATCACCATAAAACCGGGTACGTAAATGTCTCCTAACATCCAAAAATTTCTTTTCATATCTCAAAGTAAGGTTGAAATTCCCTTTTGTTCGTCAAGAGATCAGAAAAAAATTCACATTTAAATGTTGAATTAAATATGTATTATCTATTAGTTATTACTATATTTTTGAGAAGAGAATAAGAAGAGCCTAGAGTCACTAAAAGACTAAGGATTTGGAGGGACATCAGACTAGAAATTGAATACCTGTAGCTTCATAATTCTGCCATATCTATATTTTTTTCCATTCTTCACTTTTTAGTTAGGCTTTCTTGACTCTCAATTTCGACCTCTATTATTCATATGAATAAGCATTTTATAAACATAGATGTTACATAAGCAATGTGGTGCTGGCTTCTCAAATACTCTTAACAGTATTTTTGAAAATATTTTAACAATCTGATAAAAAAAGAACAATCTTACTCTGCTAGTGCATTATCATAGCAGAATGCATGCAGAAGTGAATCATAAATCCTAATATTTTGCTATGCTTTGCCGTAGAATAAAGGTGTTATCTTGCAAATGTCACCCAGACCATTTGAATATTGGTATAATACAGCACCATATGAAATAGTCTACCTGCTTACTTGTCATGAAACCTCTGTCTTGGCTCCTCAGCGTGTTTCATAACATGGCACAGCGAGAACAATTTACGGATTCTTTTTCTCCCTCTGAGACTCTCCCTGAGGGGGTGCCAAGCAATTTCATGATTGTCCCTGAAGCATTTGAAAGCTTAACAGAATGCAAAGGAGGGGGTATATTTATTAATATTCCAGAACAACTTGTATTTACCAGCATGTGAGTTAGATTTGTTTGCTTATGGATTACATTCCTACCTTTTACTCTTAACTTTCTTCTTTACCCACTTTGATAATTAAATTTGTGTCCACAAAGCTAGGCTACAGTGCCCAGATTTTTGGTCAAGCATCGGTCTAGATATTGCTGTGAAGATATTTTTTAGATGTGATTAATATCAAAGATATTGGCCTATAATTACTCGTTTTTGTGTTGTTCTTCTCTGGTTTCGGTATCAGGGTAATTTTGGCCTCATAAAATGAGTTAGGAGTCTTCCTGTTCTCTTCAATGTTTTGGAAGAGTTTGAGAAGGATAGATATTAAATCTTTGCATGTTTGCTAGAATTCACCAGAAAAGCCATCTGGCCCTGGACTTTTGCTTTTTGGGAGATTTTTGATTACTGTCTCAATCTATTTACTTGTCGTTTGTCTATTCAGATTCTCTACTTCTTTTGGATTCAGTTTTGGCAAGTTGTATGATTCTAAGAATTTATGCATTTCTTCTAGGTTATCCAATTTGTTTACATTTACATTTTCATAATATTCTCCAATAATCCTTCATATTTCAGTGGTATCTGTTGTAATTTCTCCTCTTTCATTTTTGATTTTATTTATTTGAGACTTCTCTCTTTTCTTCTGTGAGTCTGGCTAAGGGTTTCTCAAATTTGTTTATCTTCTCAAGGAACCAGCTCTTAGTTTCATTGATCTTTTCTATTGTCTTTTTAGTCTCTATTTCACTTATGCCCACTCTGATTTTTATTATTTCCCTCCTTCTACTGACTTTGGGCTTCATTTGTTCTTTCTTTTCTAATTATTTTAGGTTTACTGTTAGATTGTTTATTTGAAATGTTTCTTGTTTCTTGAGGTAGGCCTGTATTGCTATAATCTTCCCACGTAGTACTGCTTTTGTTGCATCCCATATGTTTTCATATGTTTTGTTTTCATTTTCACTTGTCTCTAGGTATTTTTTGATTTTCCTTTGATTTCCTCATTGATCCAATAGTTGTTCAGTAGCGTGTTGTTTAGGGTCCACATATTTGTCACTTTTCCAGCTTTCTTCCTGTAGTTGAATTCTAGTTTCATACCATGGTGTTTGGACAATATGTTTGATATGAATTCAATCTTGGTAAATTTATTGAGGCTTGCTTTGTTTCCCGATACATGGTCTATCTTTGAGAATGTTCCATGTGAGCTTGAGAAGAATATGTATTCCACTGCTTTTTGATGAAATGCTCTATAAATATCTATGAAATCCATTTGCTCTAGTGTTTCACTTAATGCCAATTTTTCCTTGTTAACTTTCTGTCTCGGTGATCTAGCCATTGTGGGGTGTTAAAGCCCCCTACTATTATCATGTTGCTGTCAACTCCTCCTTTTAGGTTTGTTAATAGTTGCTTTATATACTTTGGTGCTCCTATGTTAAGTGCAAATATATTAATAAATGTTATGTCTTCTTGGTGGAAACTCCCTTTTATCATTATATAATGTCTATCTTTGTCTCTTGTTAACTTTTTTGGTTTGAAGTCTATTTTATCTGATACAAATATGGTTACACTCTCTTTCTTTTGGTTGCCATTTTCTTGGAGTATCATTTTCAATCCCTTCACTCTGAGCCTATGTTTGTCTCTAGAGCTGAGGTGGATCTCCGGGAGGCAGCATATTGTTGGGTCTTGTTTTTCGATCCATCCAGCCACTCTGTGTCCTTTGA